TTTCTGCATTAATTTATCCTCAAATGTAATTAGGTTTTTTTTTTATATTATAAATTCATTTTATTTTATTTATTTTTGTATACGTCAACTATAATTACCAATTAATCGGTTGTGAACATCGAATTTGATTCCTTTAACCATAATTAAATTTTAAATAATTTTTTCAATTGAGAATTGGTTGCAGTGCTCAATATTTTTTACTTTCTACTGTTTTTCGGTTGTAGCGACTAATATTTAATGTTCTTACGTTTTAATCCTAAATAAAAGTCGGCTGCATTTACTGAATTGACAAATGAATTTAATAACCGATACAATTCAGTTCAAATTATTGATTTAGAAATTATTAAAACCACAATTCGATTAGTATTATTGTTTTTTAATACAGAATATAGAAAATCAGTTAAGTATACAGTTTTTCAATAACAGCGATACAATTTTAATTAATTTAACTAAATAATTATCATGGTAACCGATTTCCAATCGATCTGTTTTCTGTGTGTAAGTGATCACAAAATAAGCTTATTTTTCAATTTAAACGTGTTTTAACGAAGTTATAAGCGATTTTAGATTTTCGACCAAAAAATCGATTTTTTAAGGAAAATATGAGTGATCACAAAACATGCTTATTTTTCAATTTAAACGTGTTTTAACGAATTTATAAGCGGTTTAAGATTTCGGCCAAAAAATCGATTTTTGAAGGAAAATATAACTAATCACAAAATAAGCTTATTTTTCAATTTAAACATGTTTTTGATTGGAAATACTGTGATTATTAATCAATTTCATATGATTATGGAAAAGAATATATAAAAAAATATATGAATACGTTTACGTATACGTAATATTAAATGAAATTTATTAGTCATACGCACTGAATAGTTTTTATGCCAGAGTATGATAAAAAGTTCCAACAGGTAAGCAATAACGTATGGAGGTTAATAACAGTACCAAAGGCATTATAATGTAACGGAAGAAAGCTGGCTTAGCATTTCTAAGTATGAATAATAAACTATGACAGAATTAAAAGTTAATAATTAAATAAGAAATTAGGCTGAGTTTTACAGTTCTCACCAAGGAAAAGAGTTACATTTAAATTTTGAAATTTGTATGAATTTTTCAAACTTAAGTAAATTTTTTCCCTTAGTGTTAACTATAAGATCGGCTCTTAGTTTATTATGATCCAACTGTTTTGTCGTTTTTTTAAGAACAAAAGTTTTAAACGCGTGCAGATTTAAATTAATTCCTTCACTTTTTTTGGCATTTATAAAAGTCTTTAATTTTTAATATGCAACACTAAAACACTCAAACTAATAAATATACAATTATTCAAAGAAAATTTTATGTTTTCTCTCTTTCATCTTTCAAATTCTGTTAATTTAATACAACCAAATCAAAAAGAAAAAAAAAACAGAAAATAAACTCTAAATCAAATTTAAATTACGTTTATTATCCTCTTTACGAATTTAATTACTTAAAAAATGAAACACTCGAGATTTTTCGTCTTGTCGCATCCTGCAAAAACGTTCGAATAATCGACTTGAATTCATGTTTGTTTGATTGTTTGTTTGTTTCTTTGTGGGATTCGATGGATGAGTAAATGGATGCTTGGTTGGTTAGTTGGAAGGAAGATGGAAATGAAAGTATCACTCAAAATAAACAAATGATCCTGAAAAACATTACTTACACTACAAATAAATTTGCATTTATTATACTTAAGTAGCAGCAGCGCAACACCATTGCTACTATTACCATCAGCAGCAACAGCAAAAAACATTACAACAGCAACAACATTAAGAATAATAAAAAAAGCGACTGTAATACGAGAAACACTAAACAAAATAATAATGAAATGGACGTTTTTTGTTGGTTGTATTTTTCATTTTGATGCTTGAGTAGAGCATCTAAAGCAAAAGTAAACTTATAGCAACGAGATATAAATGTTTTCTTTTTTCCATATAATGAATGATGATTGGCTGTTAGATACAAACAAATAATCCGACAGTCAAAGATACATACATATATAGACTTAGCGAAAATACTTATGAATAGAATGGAAGAAAAATAAAATGTTTTAGCCACATTCACATAAACACTTGCATTGAAATGAGGATTTTTATTATTTTCATATAAAAGCAAAAAATAAAAGAAAAAATTATTATAAATCTGTACGGATTATTTTAGACACTTTGGAAAAAATTAAATTTATTTTTAAACTGTCCTTATGTTATAAATATTTTGGTTTCTTTTCATAAAAAGAAATATTCTTTTGTTCTCTTTTTTTCGTACTCATATTTCTAAATACAAAATCCGTTCAAGTTGTTTCTTTAAATTTATACCATCCTTTTTATAATGTACCATAATAGCATCAAAGTCAACAACAAGATCATCCTGTAAAGGAACTGTAATTGTGCTGGTTATTGTAGAATCCACTATATGTATAGTGGTGGCAGTTGAAGTTGTTGCTGCTGCTGCTTTTATTGTCGCTAGTGTTGGGTGTTATTTTTATATAGTCGTAATATAAACACCCACAGCATTCAATAACATCCGGTTGCATGGCTACCACTATATTACATGATGATGACGATAATGATGATGCAGATAATAATGTTGCTTTAATGTCTTCCAGTGCATACAAAGGCAGAGCAGTGGAAAGAGCGAGAGGAAGTGAAAAACAATTTAAAAACAACTACAAAATATTCAATACTTCCGTTAGATATGAGTATAAGTGCATTTTCCTTGCATAATATTGATACTTCTCTTCTCATGTTCCCTTGGTCTACATTCAAAGAAAAAAAATATGTTAAATATTTTCCTCTCTATTTATACTTTTTATCATTTGCAATCATATTGCAAAGGTTCAATTACTTGCGTTAAAATGTTTCAATTTCAGGAAATTAATATTAAATAAAAATAATAATAAAACCGATTAAACTTGCAAAAAACCAAAACGAATTCTTGTTAATTTTCTTTACAACATCGTTTATGTTCTCTTTTGGGAAATCTATGTAAATTTTATAAATTAAATGCAAATAGAATCGTTGTAAATCTGGAATGCATTAAAAAGTGTTTATTTAGCTAAAATATTCATAACTATCTTGCTTAAGTACTTCCTTCTATAAATAATTTCATAAAAAGGGCTAAAAACGATATTCATGAATAAAATAATAAATTTTGATTTACATATAAACACAGACACACCTATACACAATTAAACTATTATTTAGTCATTTTTGAAACCATCACAAAGCTAAAGAAGGAACATTTTGTCATTGAGATTTTAATTAAAACTTAAAAAAAGAAAAATTGCATATTCCAAATTATAATAAATTTCTATAATGAATTTCAGGCTATTAGACAATTTTATAGAAAACAAACCAGAAATTTAGATATATTATCAGAAGGGGTCTCGTATAGGGGATATGGATAGAGTTCAACCATTTTTAATATCCCTTATGCCGAACAGACGTACATATGTGAAATATGTTTGCAATGTCAAAAGGTCCCGACATTTTATATATAAACATTATTTTTGTAAATTATTCTTATTATATTTTGAGCAAACCAATTATTCACCAAAGTTGTCATATACTAGTTTATACAGGAATAAATTTATTAAATGACAAAAATCAAAAAAAAAAAAAAATATTACAAATATAACAACATGGAAAACCATGACCACAATTGTATTTAAAATGAACTACTATCAAAATTGTACATACATATTGACAATGACAACAACAACAACAATAAAGCAAAAAAACAGAGTAGCATAAAAGCAAGAAACAACTTCGTACGACAACATGTTGACAGGTGTTAATGGCAGTCAATCTACAACATTCATGCAATGAAATCCAAATGTGAAACATTTATGTTTACACACACACGTACATTCAAGCATGCAACAGACATGCACATGTATATATGTACATATGTAGGTGTAGGAGTGTGAGTTAACAAAAATATAAGAATTAAACAATAATAAATTATAATGAAAATATTCGTGAAACATGTTGAAAGCGTTTGTGTGTGCTTTCGTTTATACAAAAATGAAATTGTTAATTTCATTATTTTCTAAAGGAATATATTGTTGAAAATTCAAGAAATTCTTAAGAACAACAAATAAACATTGAAACGGATGTACAATCTCTAGTTGTGTGAATATTTGTATGATGATTGTGTTTTAGTGTATTTATGTAAAATTTCTTTATTTTTGTTTTTGTTTATGTTTGGTGTAGAATATCAAATGAAGTTGAAAACTGTCACCTGAGATACGAACTTGTGATGACAGAGTTTTTGCTTTTATTTTTATTTTTGCTTCAAAAGGAGCTTAGCAAAAATTGTTATACTTTTTTTTAAACATTAAAGAGATGACGACAAGTAAATGGGATAAAATTCAACTTACACATACACAATCGCACACACACAAATACATACAGAAACAAAAAATTGGGCTGTGGCCCGAGAGTAATATTTGTTCAGTTTATTCCATTTTTTGTTTATTTTATTTTTTTTTTTTTTGGAAAAATGAAAATAAATATAGAACAACAACTACAACATAATTGGCAGTAGGACTAAGAACTTAAATTACTACTAAGCTTAAATTAAAAAATTAATCATGAAACAATTATATAAAACTACTTAAATTTTACTTATGTATTTAAAATTAAAATAAAATTTAAAATATGTAAAATTATTTCTTTCATTTAAGTTTAAAACTCCAAATTGCAATATTACATGTTATTTCTCTCTCACTCTCCATGTCTCTCTTTACTAGTCAGTCTCCTTTTAAACTCTCTTCTTGTAATTTCCATCTTTCCTAAATGCATGAGGCGCATGTTTGTTATTGTGCCGGATGCTGTAAGCTACAAAACTACAGAATTCCCGAGCTGCAAGAGATTGAGAAAAATCTAACTGAAACTCTACAAATTGTCTGGTTTTTGTATGTGTTGGTATAGATAGAATTTAGTGGAACAAACTGTTACAAATATTGAAATCAAGTCAGTATAAGTCCTGTGATTTTTGAGCACAGGACAGCGGAGAGTGTAGTTTGACAAGAAAAACGCCAAAAAGGCAGAAATAAACGAAATTCATAAAGAAGAAAAAAATTAATATACATACATTTTAAAGGGAATTTTCGTTTCGCTTGCTTTTGTTTATTTTCTTTTCATTAAGTTTTAAAATTTATTTTAAAATAATAAAGTGCTAAAATAGTGAACTAATTTATAATACATCGTGATACAAATTTGATATTTTTAAACCTCTTTTACCCTTAAATTTTTACAAACAAATTGAAGGTTTGGCAAATGTCAAACTTTCATTTGACAACTAAAGCATTTGACATTTTGAAAAGTGGAGACTTTTTAGCAAAGCAGATATTTTAGTACTTGAAGGTAGTACTAAGTTTCCATAGACGTCATTGCCATTAACGAGGGAGACACATCCTTTCCCAACACAATGGAACACACACTAAAATATAAATAGAAATATAATCAAAAAGAAGCAAAAACTAAAAGATAAACAAACAATCAGTATAGAATAGAGCATCAAGAAAAAACAAAAAAAAAATACACACACACATTCATGCACAGACGCACACTTTATATACAGATTATTTGTAGGTGTATGCATGTAATAACAACACAAACTATTTATCTATGCTCGTATTTGTTTGTAAATAAAGCCCGGCTAAAGCAAGGTCAAAATCATTAAAACAAAATAAATAATAAACTTTTTAGTTATCTGTAAATTGTTAAGCGTTTGACATTTAAATACTCTTCACCCATCAATTATTAAATCAAACAACACAATACCCGAAAACCAACAACAAACAAACAGCGAACACAACACACGTGACACAACTAGAAGTGACGTCACACGGGAAATTTCAAAATCCTTCAAAGCTAATGGTAATGACGTAAGCATTTTGAAATGACATTTTAAACTTTAACTCGATTATACGAATACTTCCTCCATACAACCCACTAAACGATTCCAAAAAATCTTGTCCAACAGATGTCCAATTGTGCAACACACACCAACAATAAGAGAAACGTAAAAAACAAACAATAAATAAAATCGTATGAGATAGAGTGCGTAAATACATGTGTGTACTTGCATATGTGTGTAATTTAGCCAAATGTCCGCCTTACACTACAAGTCGACACTTTGGTGTCATTTAAAATGGCTGTGTCTTCTGGTCGTCTTCATACTACTGTGCGAAAGTGTCCAGGCAAATCCCGACGCAAAACGATTGTACGATGATTTACTCAGCAACTATAATCGGTTAATACGACCCGTTAGCAACAATACCGACACAGTTTTGGTAAAACTAGGTTTAAGATTATCACAACTTATTGATCTGGTAAGTGAATTGCAGCATTTTAACCCTAAACTTTACGTATTTCATTCCTCTCAGTAGAGGTTATATATAATTAGCATAGAGTCACTAATGAATATAAAAATGCATCATAAATTTATAATAACTCCTGGTATTTTCATATACATATGTATATAAAATAAAAATCGCCTTTTTGAATATATTTTAAATTATTTTTTTTTTAATAAAAGTTATTTAATTTGATGTTTAAATGTTTAAACGTTTCTTTCGATATTTAATACATCCATTTGTTATTAGTCAAATAAAAGAAAAATGGATCAGGGTGGATATAAATTTTGAAAATTAAATTACAAATGCGAATATCTACTAAGCTATACGACATAATCGAAGAGGATTTTTATAGTGCTCGAATGAAATTTTTTTGGCATCGGATCGGAGTAGATTCTATATATGTAATTTTTTGAGATCGGAACACAAATGATAAAATAGTATCGTTTTAAAAATTTAACATACCAGAGTAACAGAGTAACCCCTGAACATACCTGGACATGGAAAAGATAAGATCCATCACACACAACATCCGACACACTCACTCTAGGTAAACGGATGGGTAAGGTCTGCATACCCCTACATTCATCCTGTATCATATACACTTTATACTCCAATGCTTAGTCTCACAGTATCAGCTGTCTTGGCAACAGCACCGAACTTAACCAACATTCTGTCCCCGCGAATTTTAGTTTAAATCACATCCCTAAGAGACCACTGCAATAAACGGGACAAGACAAAGTCCGAAACTCTGCCCTGCGGCTACCGGTTTCCATGGTACCATATTATGTGATTCTCTGATTCGCCTCTATGTCAAATCCTTCCAAGGAAATGCCGAGAATACATTTGATCGTCACCAGTTTATAGTCCCGGCAGACTCGGGTTGCAATATCACCAAGATCAGGGTCTTTTCTCAAGATAACATGGCCACGGGAGGACGTTTAGAAGTTAAAGAACTAATTCCCTCTTTTTATTTCTATACCATTGTGACACGTATGTCCGTTTGTACTTCATCCGCTCAAGTAAACCTTTTAAACTAAGTAAGTATAGGTATATACATAAATATAATTCGATGAAATTTTACGCGTAATAATTTTGTTCCAAGGACGATTTCAGACCGTCTTGCAAAAAATTTTTATAAAAATTAAAAAAGATAAATTTAAAAAAAGAAATAAAAACATATTGACAATTTGTGAAAATACAAATTTAGTACACATTTCATCAATGACTATCTGTTGATATCTCTATTCATATAAACTCTAAGGCAGAGTATCAGGTTTTAAGTGAAAATGTAAAAATTAATTTTAAGATAAAAATCCACATATCTACAGTTACATAAAAGGCCTACCTACGTAACTGAGAATTCCTAACATTATCCCTTTGTGCAGAGAAAATAATATATTTAATTTCCCGAAAGTTGTACATTATGCAATACTTTAGAAAACGAAATAAAGTCCCAAATTAAGTTTCCATTCAATTTTATTGGATGTCTGCAACAGTTACCATACTTAAATTTATAAATCATCTTAGTGCATCAACTGCAGCACTTTTCACTCAATATGTTGTGGGCATATAAATGGAAGAAAAAAGTCAACTGTTCACCACAATGCAAAAAATGTATGTATATGATACTGAGTCAATTGCTAAAGTTGTAAAATACAACTGTTGCAAACCCATGAAGGGACGAAGAAGAAAAATCATTTTTACAACTCGGTTGTACTCAGTGACTGAAGGCAATTTTTACATTATTTTTTTACTTCATTTTCTTTATTTTTTACTCTAGATTTATTGCTTTTCAATTTAATATTGAACTAAAGTAAAAGAATTTATACCCCAAATGAGGGGTCGGTTATCTCAAAAGTTCAGAAAGTTTAACAAACAATCATATAGCAATATAAAAAAAAAAAAAAAAAAACATAAAAAACTTGGCACCCAATTGATTTAGTTGAATTAAAGTTCTTTCTTTACTTTAATGCTAACTAAACTGTTAAATAGAAACACATTCATACATATGTATATATGTATATACTTTCATACTTATGGCTAAATGAAATAACCCAACAAACAATTCAAAAGCTTTATAAATTTTAAAAATATTAAAATCGTTTTTGGTAATTTTCATTCAAACTTAGGTTAGGTTAGGTTGATAGGAGGATGTATACTACATCAAATCCGAAGAAATACACCTAGGCCACTATCGGGCCTGTTGTGCGCTCCTATTCATTCAAACTTAAAAAAAGTATTTTAATTTCAAATAATTAATAATTAGATATAAAATAAGCTTGACTCGTTATAAATTTGTTTGTTTGTCTTGCATACGTTCACATGTATACAAGACGTAATATTTTCTTGGCATTCAAGAAACTTTTGGCCAAATAACCATATTTTTTATCGCATTGTTGACAACGATGTCTTAAGTTCAATTGATCAAATTCATTTCTATTTAATATATACCATTCATACGTACATATATATTTAAAATGTACAAACATATATACATACGTCACCTTAATATAAGAAATACGTATTTAACATTAAGATGTTTAAGATAATAGAAAAATTGTAATGCAATTAAAAATGTTTATTAAACAGTTATTAATTGACAATTCAAAACAAAAATTTTGTAAATAGTGTATTCCACGAAATTAAACTAGAAAAATTATTTTTTAACGCCTTTTTGATATTAAGGTGACGATATATATGTACATTAGGGTGGGTCGAAAAAAAAGTTGAGTCAGTCACCTCCTACGATTAAAGATATGTTAATAACATTTCAAAAAATATAAAAAATATTTTTTTGCCACGCCTAGAAATACCGCCCTTTTTGTTTTTTATATATAACGTCGCCATTTTAAGTCCGATTGTAACATATAATATATCAATATCTATGGCTTGACTGTAGCTATATTTCACCCTCTGACAATTTTTTAATTCGACGTCATATTCTATGCTCGACTTCTGATATCTCGGATCCTTCCCCAAAATCTAAAATTGTGGCTGTACTGTAATAAAGTACATTTAATTATATGAGCTATTTGCTTCTAAAATGCTCACTTTTATGCATAAACAGCTATTTTACAGGTATTTAAAACTACCTGTATAGTTCTAACTACAAACAATTAATTTGCTAGGGATATGGTCGAAAACTATTTTTCAAATTAATTTACAATACAAAAATTTCATTCTGCCCCCTATCTTAACACAAGAAAGATAATTTTATTCAGCATTTAATTTTATTCATTAATAATAAAATCACGTAGGTACATAAAAACTAAACATTTTATTTTATAAAAATCGATGAAAAATTAAGGAGTTTATAAAAATATTTCATGTTTTTACCATACAATTACTTGCATGTTTCTCGTTTTTTTTTAACAATTTTCAAAAATGTTTATACTAATTTTTATAAAATGTAATAAATTTATTTAAAGATATATTAACTTTTCTTAAATAGTTATATATTTTTAAAGAAGTTCTTGAAATAAAAACTAATAAAAAACAAGTAGGAAAGTATAGTCGGGCATGGTCGACCATATAATATCCTACACCATGAGTATATTTTTAAAATTTGTATTAAAAAAACTGTTATATTGAATTTTACCTTAATTCCAAAGTATTTAAGCAAGTTATTTGATAAAAATCAAAATTTTCTAAATGAGGCTTTATATAGGATTTATGGGCCAATCCTTATTAAATTTGGGAAAAGGATATATTTTTAAATAACAGTTAGTTTTGTTTCATTGCGATACAAATGGTTACAAGTCAATTTTAGACTCTAAGACATTTTTTGAAGAGGGGTTTGTATGGGGGCTAGGGTCAAATAAGGGCCGATCATTACGAAAATCTGCAGTGTCATTTATACTTATATAAAACTTATTTGTGTTAATTTTTAGAGAGATAATAGTATATTTGACGTAATTATGGCATAAAAAGCCCAAATCGGGAGGTACGGTTGTATGGGGGCTTGGTGAAATAATGGACCGAATTTGGGCTTCGTTCCTGTGCCCAAAAACATGCTTGGTCCAAGTTTCATCAAATTATCTTGAAAATTGCGGCCTGTACCTTGCGCACAAGGTTTACGGACAGACATGTCTTAATCGACTCAAAAAATGATTCTGAATCGATCGGTATACTTTAAGGTGAGTGTAGGACCAATATTTTTGTACACCGCTATAGAGGTGTAGGGTATAAATATTAGTCGGGAATGATACCAGTTATGAGTATATCTAAAATGTGATTTCTTTTTTAATAAAGCATTTATATAGAAATTTGTCCACTACTTTTTAAGCAATTTATTGATGAAAAACTGATTTTCTGAAAGAGCCTATGGGAGCTAGGACCAATTATAGACCGATCCCAACAAAATTTAGTGGAGGGATTTATGTTCATATAGGGGTTAGATATGCAGAATTTTATGATAATGGTAGTGTTTAAGAGGGAAATAACGGTAAGCCACAATTAAAGGCTCCGATTTAATCCATCTTCAAACAACTTCGTCCTTTGGTAAAATTAAATATTTGAGCCTATTTTCATCAAATTATCTGGAAAATTGTGATTTGTAGTTTGACAACAAGGTTTACATGGACTGACAGTAGGACAGACATAGCTAAACCACTATATTGCTGTAGGATATATGTAGTTAACTTTCTTTTATTTTGAAAGGAAGTTGGATCTGAAATGGTTTATAACTGAAAAAATTAAAAGGATTTCTGTTTTACATAGTTCATTAAAAAAAAATGTTCGACTGTTTTATCTGGCAAATTAATAGTTCGTTGTGAGAACGGTTGATAAATACTTGAACATTTTTAAATATCTATAAAATAGGTGTTTTTGCATAAAAGTGAGCATTTTAAAAGCTAATAGTTCATATAATTCAATGTACTTTATTCCAGTATAGCCACAATTTTAGATTTTGGGGAAGGATCCGAGATATCAGAAGTCACGCATAGAGTATGACGTCGAATAAAAAAAATTTCTAAGAGTGAAATATAGCTACAGTCAAGCCATAAATATTGATATATGACATGTTACGATCGGTCTGAAAATGGCGGCGTAATATATAAAAAACAAAAAGGGCGGTATTTCTAGGCGTGGCAAAAAAGTATTTTTTATATTTTTGGAAATGTTATTAACATATTTTTAATTCTAGGGGGTGACTGACACAACTTTTTTTTTTGTCCATAGAGACCGACCCACTCTAATGTACTATACATACGTAAGTAAATGTGTGTTTGTAAATTTGTATTCTAAAACAAAAGAAATCAATTTGTTGTACAACGACAAATTTTATACTTGAAGAATTGAAGAGAGAAAATTTAATAAAAAATAAAAAATGACATTAAAATATTGAAAATTCAATTTGTTTAAAGTGAATTGTAAGATTTTGGGGTTCTATTTTTATAATTCCCTTTTTAACAAACATTCACAAGCAACTAACACACCTACATTTAAACAGACACATACATACACACTTATAACACTTACACAACATTTTAACAAAATTTGGTGATTGTTTTTTTTTATTATTTTATTTGATTTTCAAAAACATTACTTACAAATGTCTATAATGGCTTTCTGCTGTTGTAGGAGTGTTAAAAGTTAAAGAGACGGATACAAAACGAGAAAAAAAGCAAACGAATGAACGAACAAACAAACTAGAATGTCATATAAAATGAAAAGAAATAATGAAATGTTACTGATTATATTGACATTAAAATAAAATTGTAAATAGAACATCATGTTACAAATACTACAAAACTGTACGATTACATACACCCCATACTGCATCAGCAAAAAAAAAAAGGGAACGTGAAGCATTCGCTTCCACTTTCATACACTCTAAAATTAAAATTTATAGAATTATACTTTTTTATTGCTGTTTCAATTTAAAGACAGTTTTGATTGCCAGCAAATTTTTGAGTGTAGGCGCGAGGCAAGAAAATTACTGTTGTTGCCATTTGCTCTTAAGGAGGTTCTTGTAAGTGCTAAAATACTATTATTTTTTTCTTTTTTCAAAATCACTTTGGAATTGAAATCAAAATATATTGCTTTTATTGCTGTTATTGTCGCTACAAGAAAATTCAAACGTTATCTGGATAGGAGGAGTTGCTACTGAAGAGGGGCAAACTCTCAATAGAAATACACAAATATTGAAAAAGGGGTTCAAATTAAAATGAAATTGAAAAAAGTTGAATAGATTTTTTCGTATTTTTTTGTACATTTCAAGGATAAAGAACAATATTTTAACACTGTTTGCATCCTTACCCTAGGCCTCCAGGCAGTTTGACTTAATGCGTAAACATTTTATTATTACAAACAAATTTATTACTTGTTCATTTCTTTTTTATATAAACTGTCCGCCTCACTCAAATATTGAACACTCAATTTCGACGATCGCAGTTGGGAGGCAATGGGAGGAACTTATCACCAAAAATCAACCAAAATTCCCATCTATGTATGAATAGCATTTACATATTTGCAAATATGTATTGACTGTTGGTAATGAAGCAATGAAAATTAGCTTCACAATAAAAACTATGTAAAATTTATGTAAAATGGTAAAAAAAGAAAAAACTTAAAATGTCATCCAAAAATAACATAAAAAAGCTCAAACTTTTAATAAAAATCATCAACAAAATTTTCGGAGTTTTGCTATTGTATATTAAAATTTCTTTCCTTCTTCCCCTAACATTTTAGAACCTAAAAGATCAAATTCTAACGACGAATGTGTGGTTAGAACACGAGTGGCAGGATCACAAATTCAAATGGGATCCTTCGGAATACGGTGGCGTAACAGAGCTGTATGTGCCATCAGAACACATTTGGTTACCGGATATTGTATTGTACAACAAGTAATTTCAAACACAAAAACACATTTAAACAGTCAGTTCGTAACATGTCATAACATTTACTAATTTATAGTGCTGACGGTGAATATGTAGTGACAACAATGACAAAGGCCATTTTACACTACACTGGCAAAGTGGTATGGACACCACCCGCCATCTTTAAGTCATCCTGTGAAATCGATGTGCGTTATTTTCCCTTTGATCAGCAAACCTGTTTTATGAAATTTGGTTCGTGGACCTATGATGGTGATCAAGTAAGTAATATAAAGAAAATTTAAATTTTCTTTTTTTATAAATTTTTGTTTTCTTTGACTATTTAAAGATTGATTTGAAACATATTAATCAGAAAAATGACAAGGATAATAAAGTCGAAATTGGTATTGATTTACGGGAATATTATCCTAGTGTGGAATGGGATATTTTGGGTGTACCAGCTGAGCGTCATGAAAAATATTATCCCTGTTGTGCTGAACCATATCCTGGTAAATTGTTGTTTATTTTTTAATTCCTTACATATGTATGTATATACGCTATACAATTTTATAAGCTTATTACTATTTAAGTAGAAAAATTATAAAATATTTTGAACAAAATTATTTCTTAATGCCATATAAACCTTAAATCTCCTTTTATACAAAAATAAAACACATACGAACGCTTAGCAAAATAATTACGGGAGAAGAACTAAAAGTTTGAGAAATTTTATTATTGCTTCAGAAAATGTTTTTGAAAGTTTTATTATTTTATAAGACTTTAACATTAATTATTGAAGATTACATACTAAACTGAATCAAATTGTTATTGTGAAAACACTTTTGGAACAACCCTCATAATATAAAACTGTGTTAAAACATTGGTGATAAATATAAAACATTTAAAATAAATATAAAAAAAAATTAATACAAAATTGTATGATGTTGCAGTTGTGGGTGGTGGCATGATGATGTTTTTGATGGAATTTTACTTTAGCACTGGCAAATAAAGTGAAATTATAACTAAAAACTAAAAAAACTGTAAACAATTGCAGTTGTGTCATTTATTTGTTTTTGTATTTTGTGTTGTTGTCATATGATGATTGAAATCCTATAGGATTTAGAATTTTATTGAAATAGACTACTCGTGCTTCGGTACTTAGCATTATACCACAACACAAATACACAAACACGCATACTAAGTTACATGTGTATGTATTTATTTACGTATGTATGTATCTCTACATGTGTAATAGATACGAAGCATACAGAGATTCAACATGCATTCATGCAGAAAATCTCAAAATATCTGTATGTAAAATCATTTATAGATAGACAAATATGTTTGTCTTATACGTACGTACGTACGTATGTATGTATGTAGATAATTGCATGTGTTTGAATGAAACTTATATACAAATGGGGATATTTAGTTTAAAACTTTTTTTGCTAATAGAACTTCAAGTTCTAAATATAAGTTTCTGTGTGTTCTTACAAATGTTTGTATCTGATGTGAATAGCGTAACCCAACTGTCAACAGAATTCTAAAGAACTTTTTATCTTTTTTGTATTTTATTCAATTCCAAACCACATAACTATTCACACATTCTTTTCATAAGAAATTCAAAATTATCTTCTATTCTTGTTAGATAAACGTTTATATAATTGTTTTACTATCTTTTTAATGTTTGTCTTTTTAAACATACATACTTATGTGTTCATATAATTTTTCTTTAGATATTTTCTTTAACATTACATTACGCCGTAAAACACTATTTTATACCGTCAACTTGATCATACCCACTGTTGGCATTTCATATCTATCGGTGTTGGTGTTCTATTTACCAGCCGACTCGGGTGAAAAGATTGCTTTGTGTATTAGTATTCTGCTCTCGCAAACAATGTTCTTTTTACTTATATCCGAAATTATACCCTCCACATCGTTAGCTCTGCCGCTTCTGGGTAAATATTTACTATTCACCATGTTGCTGGTAGGCCTGAGTGTTGTCATTACGATCATCATACTCAATATACACTATCGTAAGCCCAGCACACATAGAATGGCGCCCTGGGTGAGATCGTTCTTTATAAAGCGGCTGCCAAAATTGCTGCTGATGAGAGTGCCCAATGATCTGCTAAGAGATTTGGCGGCTAGTAAGGTCAATTATGGCATGAACTTTAATAAGACCAAATTTGGCAAAGCTTTAATGGATGAAATGAACATTAATTCAGGCAATTCAAGTCCAGATTCCATACGACGTATGCAGGGTCGTGTAGGCAATGGTCTAAGCAGTGCCTCGGCTACAAATCGGTAAGTGCTTTTTATATTTTTTTAATAATATTGATAGCAAATCGCTTTAATCGGCTTAATAAGGAAATGTTTTACTTAAATTGCATTTTATTTATAATTTCTTAACACATTTAGATTCAGTGGCATGATGGGTGTATTAGGTGGTGGCCTTAGTACTCTAAGTGGCTATAATGGTTTGCCTTCGGTGCTGTCTGGCCTGGATGATTCATTGAGCGATGTGGCTCCACGTAAAAAATATCCATTCGAGTTGGAAAAAGCCATACACAACGTCATGTTCATACAAAATCACATGCAACGCCAGGACGAATTTAATGCTGTAAGTATTTACTTATTTAGTCAAATACAATAATAATTTCTAAATATAACATGCATACATATGTATGTATATACATAACATTATATATTTATAACTGCATATGTATATCAGTGAGTATGTATGTGTGTGTTTAAATAATACAAAATAATGAATTAAATATTCTAAACGTTGATTGAATTTTTAATTGAACTTTTATATATTCTATGCAAATATTCACAATACAGTAGAAACCCTGTAAATGTTCTATTCATACTTATTTATAAATCTCTTGCTTAAGACTAATATAGTACAAACATATCTATAAAGACTCGATGTTAATGAAATTAAGTTAATAATTCGAGTTTTTACTGTTTAATAACGTATCAGTTTAAGTAAGAATGTAAGTATATTTTTTGCATTTGCTAGAAGGTTTTTATTTATCTACATTCTTTCTTTATTTTTCATTTTATATTATTTCTTGTAATAAATTGAAGGACTAACTGACTGAATGGCTGCATTGGACACAGACGGCAACCACATTCATACATACAAAAGGAAGAAAGGAAACTAAATGACTGAAGTAGTAGTGGTTAGTGTTTATGAAGTATTGGCAACAAAAATAAAAAAGAAAAAAAAAACAAATACTGGTTAACTACAGTTTCTGATTGTTAGAAATACATTCCTACCCATTGGTGTATACATACATACATACGGTGGTGGTAAATTGAGGAAAATATTTTAAAATAGAAATAATCTAAATACAAATTTATACAATTTTAATTAACAACACCATGATTCCGAAAGGAAGGTTGGTTGATAATGGCGACGAAGAGTACAAATAAATGGATTGATATTGATTGAATTTTAAAAAGCATTAAATTAAATATTTATGTATGTGTTGTGTTGCATCAGTTAGTTGATTTTCTATTTTAATTTTTGTTGCTTTTTCTTTTCTGGTTACTCTGGTTTATCAGTGTATTTATCGATTGCAATCGAATGTATCTGTATGCGAGTGTTTGAAGTATATTTGTATGATTTTGGTATTCGGCCTCGATTTAATCCGCTTTTAATTGCTTTTGTTTCACTTGATTGGCTAACAATTTATTTGCTTTCGACAACAACAACGACAGAAGCAGCAGCAGCACTAACAGTAAAAACACTGGGGATGTACTACAAAAATGGCCAACATTTTTCATGTTGAAAGTATATTAAGAAGCAAAAAATATAAGTGAAAACTGAAACAGAAAAGTAAACACTAACTAGAGATGACTTGTGTAGTCGTATGTAACGAATTGATTTGTAAGCAATATGTCAATCATCAATATGATGACTGACAGGCAGCCAGGCAGGCAGGCCGAGAGACAGATAAACTGAAAAGTTTGATTAATTATGACCATTTACGTTAGATTCAATCCAAAGAAACCGTGAAAAAATATAAAAAGATAAACACTACTACAGTTTGCATGAAATGATTTTAAAGTGACTTTTATCACTTGAAGTGAACTCAAACGTAAGAATAAACAAACATTTATTTTATATGCTATAGAAGATTCTTTCTTCCACTCTTTCTTCTATTTATTCATCTTTCTAACCGTTCATCCATCCATCCATCTATTCAACTAACCAACCAATACGAAGAACATATTTTATCATGCATAAATACTCTTTTAAATTTTTCATTATAATGTCAAAGATTGGAGGGAGAGATGTAATATGATGTTGTAAACATTAAATACAAGTACATACATACATATGTATGTATTTGTATTTTTAGTTTTATATACGACGTTTGCTCTAAAATTAACAAAAAATTATTACTGAAATTAAAAAGTAACTGCAATTATATTTTGCATAATTTTAAAACTAAGAAATACATTCTTTTTAGTGTGACAACTAAATATTTTTAAAATTAATTAAATTTGGATATAAATTACAATCACACCTCGTATTATTATTTTATGCGTATAAAGGTTTGTGGGATTTTGTTTTAACTTAAAAAAATCAGCTATAAGACAACAGCAAACTTTGACAATGAAGCGTTAAATTGGTTTTCCAATAAAAAAAAATTATTACAAAAATTTAAACTTTTAATTCATTTTGTTTTCTATGCTTAAGAACTAAAACTTTTACTAGTAATTACGCTCTTTTCTACAATTTACTCACTCTATCTATTATTTTCTGTGTGTTTTTTTAGGAAGACCAAGATTGGGGTTTTGTGGCCATGGTTTTAGATCGTTTATTTTTGTGGATTTTTGCCATTGCTTCGTTAGTGGGCACTTTCATGATTTTGGGTGAGGCACCTTCCCTATATGATGATACCAAACCCATTGATGTGGAACTATCTGTAATTGCTCAGCAAATTTACAATCTAACTGAAAAGAAATCCTAAATGTTTTAAATTTCAACAAACAACACATAAAATAAGAAAAAAAATTATATAAATTATAAAAGCAACAACAACAACAAATGGCAACCAAATGTTAACAACAAAATATTTATAATTTTAAGTAAACCAATACAAAAACACACTGACACACCAACACCACAACACAGTTTAGACACACTTCCAAAAACAACTTAAATATTAACTAACAAAAAAAACAACAAAATTAAGAAAATGCCAATAAAAAAATGTTTAAACAAAAAATCCCTTTTTTGTTGTTGTTTTCTTTTTTCATTTTCATACCCCAAACAAAACAAATTGTTGGGAATTTTTTAAGCAATTCTGTCATTCACAACAACTGAGTCGAGTACCCACGTACTTGCATGTGGAAAATGATAACAATTTTTGTATACAACAAGAATTTAACATGAATACTTAACAACAACTAACAGCAACACAACAAAAACTTGGTAAGTTTAGAAAGTATGTTAAAATTTTTGAGAATTATTTCATAACCAAGGTAATCATTTAGAAAAAACAAAACAAAAATCCACCCAGAAAAAAAAAGAAATAATAAAAAAACCCACTAAAGTTCCTTTAGATGGAAATATGCAAAAATGTGAGAGAAGAAAAGATATTTAGTAGAAGGGAGTAAGGAAAGTAAGTATGACATAAAAACTGCAATACTCTTCATATACATACATATGTATGTATGGTGATTACGTTTGTATTTGTGGTATTTTTTTATTATTATTTTTCTGTACTTTTTTTGTTTTATTTTCAATTACAAATACCATTAACAATATGGCACACGCTCAAAAGCATCATCGTTGTCGTCCTCATCATCATCGTGTTTTTCTATGTATATCGTTCTTTTACAACACCAATACATTTGTATTTGTTCATGCATTCAAACTGTGTGTGTAGTATGTACCCTGGAGTTTTACAAAAAGTCGATGTATCTCTTTGGACACGAATTTATATATTTTATAAATTTATACATTTTATAAATTATTATATTTTACAAAAAATTATCGATTATGGAGCAGATATATTTATAACTATATAACTTTCGAAAAAAGCTAAAGCTGTTAATTTTTTAAATATGATATGAGGAACCAATAAGGCCCTTCACTGTACTATTATGTTATTAAATATCTTCTAAATTTAAACAAGTATCTGCAGCAGTATACTCCTTCAGAACTATGTTTACATAAATATTTTCGTTTTCTTTTTATTATTTTATTTCTTCCATTTGTATACTTGTCACTTCATATGCTATTCAATTTGACATGCAATCTTAAATATAAAAACAGGGAGATTACATGATGATGATGATGACGATGGTGATGTGAATGAGAATTGCATATCAAAAAGATAACTATTACATTTTGTTTTTCACATGTATACAATTTGTATGTGATGTAAGTATGTGCACTTGTTTGAGCAAAAGTGTATTTGAATGCATGTTTACATCATTGCATTATTTCTTGCAATGTGTAACTTATGCGCACTTTTTCTTTCTTAAATATTAAATAATCTGAAATCGAAATAGACAACGAAATACTACACGAAAAAGAAAACTAGTGAAAACCTTAAGAATAAAAAATACAATTCAACAAGTTTTTTGCTAAACATGTGCCAGCGATGACATATTTCGTTGGAGAAACAATTTTTAGATAAGTTTTTTATTTTTGTTTTTGCCAAAGAACTATTTGTATACATACATATTGTTAGCTAAAATATTTTATACAGATATAAAGTATTGATTTCATCTCATGTTTGCCTAAAATGTATGAATTAAAAAGCTTAAGTTGATAGTGTTTTTTCAAACATATTATATCACTAATATGTTATTTAATTATCAATTATTTATTCTATTGCTTTTTATTTAATTTTAATTTTCAAGCACTTTTTCCAGTATTTTGGTCTAAATAGGTTTTGTTTTGAACATTTGTATTTTATCCAACGATATGAATAAACACATAATTCGACATTATTATGTAGAATATATTTTACAATGAATGTACATCAACATAATATGGAACACATGATTGCAAAATTATGAAAACAACGCAAAACACAAAATGAAGAGCAGAGAAATGTGTCTGCAAGAATTTTGATACAAAGAAATATTTGAACTCGAAACTTCATGACGAATAACAAAAATAGAAACTCAACAAACTACATACAATGTCCTTTATATAACTGGAAAACTATTGTTTTAAATAATGCACTCAAACACACATCCATACAAATACATACATATTTAAGTATATACTACAACATTTTTATGCAGTAGATATTTATAGTTTGTTCATAAATTTATACTTTTTGTTAAAATGTCAAATAAATGCATTTTTTATTTATTTATTATTTTCTTACTTATCTCAGACATTTCAATATTTTGCTGACATTTACAAAATAAATACATATATTTCTTTATTTTATTTCACCGTAATAAAAGTGTAGTTCTTGTTTTTACACTTCAATAATTTTGGAAATATTTTAGAAACTTTTTTAAAATGAAATAAATTCTATTATTCAGCTTCATAAGTGCACATATGTACATATGTACAATAATCAAATAATGCAAATAGTTTTATTAATAAATTATTAACAAAAGTATTTCGATTATTTGACATTTCTTTCTTTTTGTTAAAAAATTTTCGGTTTTTGTTAATAACACTGTGTGTAATATTTTAAGTCATGGAAATAAAACCTCTACGTAATAAAAGACCAAAGAAAAGACTTGTGTCTCGCAGTTTTGCCCAAAGGCATGCACTTTTTTATGGGCTCCCAAAAATTTGAGGCATTGGTGCCATTTTGGCGAAAAAAGTGTTCATTTTCTCAGACGCATCTTGCAGACCGTTCGTTCATGTCATAAAGAACAAAAGTTGTGAAAATATGTATAAAATCAAAAGAATTTATCTTAATTTTTTCATTTCCAGTGAAAAGTTTTATATTGTGAAATTGCACTGTTTTTGTTAACGATACCTATACGTATACGTGTTAAAGGTTTATTGATATTACAAATATTAAGTATACGCCTAATTTAGAGAAGCACTTGAAGTAATTTTTTAACACATATAAAATCGAATGTTTTAAAGTTTTTTTTTTAAATTTTGGTCTTGAAACTTAAGTTTTATGATTTATATATTATATATTTTTTTAAGTGCATATCTTTAGGTAAAACTGTGTCTTGTTTTTTGGTATTTTATCACGTAGTTATAGTGTTTCATGTTGCATTGAGTAATTATTTTCTTTTCTATAAACAAATGTCACTTTAAATTTATAATTATGAAGACAAAAGATAGTTTTTAAAATATTTTGAGTTCAAGTTCTTAACAGGAATGTATTTTTTCTTTATAAGGGAGAAAATAATTTATTTTATTCCATAAATATACATACATACTTATATACATACGAATGTGAAGGGCACAACGAGTTGTTGAATTGAGTTGTGCTATGTATGAATCGAAATTGATTTACATAATTTAAAATATTCACAACAGATTCATCATAATCAGTATGGAGATTTATACATATTCATCTATAAGTATGAAAAAGAATTCAAAGTTGTATCATTATATGTATGACCATTTTTTACTTGTTTTTCTTTTATTATAAATGACTTTATCACGTGAAAAAATGAAACAAAAATCACTTCATTGTCATTTTATATTAAATATCCTAAACTACTTAGTCTTAATTTCTATTCGTATACTTGAATCCTTCTTGCCTTTTTGCTGTAACTTCTTTTATTTTTCTTCCTTTTCTATTCAATTATGAGGCAACAATGAATAGAGAACAATTTTATTAAGATGATGACTGGTAGAGGCAGGACTAGTGGATCACATCCAATTAGCATTTTAAATTAAATTAATATTAAATTAAGATGTACATCATCTTTTTCAAAAGGTTATTTTGCTATATACATACATATTATATATGTATGTATGTATATATTTACTTCCTTTTAAGCACAAAAGAAAAGGCTATATAAAATTAACATGAACTACAATAAGTATATTAAGGGTATAGCATTTTAAAAAATTTGAAGAAATCAAATCAGCAATATTTCTACCATAGCTAAAATAATAATTAGAAAGCCAATGATTGAATATCGCATTTGCTCAAAAAATTTTTATTCCAAAACTATTTGCGTAGATTCTTTTACCCTTTTTCTACACTACTGGCTATCCCACTTAGTGATTGCAATGAAATTTAATCACCTTAATACATACCAAATGTATCAAAAAATGTTTCCTTCACATCCACCAACACATTTACCATGTCACTCACACAATTACTCATTCTTCTTCTTCTGGTACCTTCTTTATTAAGGTATGTACTTCTAATATGTCTTTCCAACATTGTATTAAGATTACTTAGCATCTCTAGAGATCAAACTGTAGATTAAAAACAAGTAAGAAAGTATAGTCGGGCGAGGCCGACCATATGATACCCTACACCAGTTATGAATATTAAATGTGATTTATTTTTCATAATAAAGCATTTATCTTCAATATTCCCTTGTTCCGATACATTTAAGCAATTTATGGATGAAAAACTAATTTTCTAAAAGAGGCTTTATATGGGGGCTAGGGGCAAATATGGACCAAGCCCGATAAAATTTTGTGAATATATTTATATTTACATAATATTTTATTGTGCTGAATTTCATCGCGATATTTGTGTTTATAAGTTAATTTGGGACATTCAAGTAATTTTCTGAAGCGGACTTTGTATGGGAGCTAGGGTCAAATGGGCCCGATCTTTATGAAATGTGGCAGGGTCATCAAGACTTCTATAAAACTTAGTTGTGCCGTATATTATCGATATATCTGTATATTTAACATAATTATGAGCTCAGAAGCCCTTTTCGGGGGGTTCTGTTCTATGGGGGCTAGGTGAAATAATGGACCGATTTTAACCATTTTCAATAGGCTTCGTCCTTGGGTCAAACAAAATGTGCATGCCAAATTTCATCAAATTATCTTGAAAATTGCGACCTGTAGCTTGCGCACAAGGTTTACATGGACAGCCAGCCAGCCAGCCAGACGGACGGACGGACGGACATAGCTTAATCGACTCAGAAAACGATTCTAAGCCGATTGGTATACTTTAAGGTGGGTCTAGGACGAATATTTTTGTATGTTACAAACATCAGCACAAATCCAATATACCCTCCCCACTAAAGTGGTGTAGGGTATAAATACTATTAACTGATACCAACAACAACAACTA